AGAATTTAAATAAAGTTAAGTAAATTAAGAAAATTTGTACTCTATAAAACAACAATATAAATACGTTACTAGTTAGCTAAACATTTATTTAAAAGTTTGTTATTTACTAGACTATTTATTAAATTCAAATTTTTCTTCAATTTTTTGTTTAATGAATTAATTATTAAATTTCTAAAAGAATGTCAATTATGTTTAAAAACCTACAATATTGGACCATGATAATATTAAAATACTTTGATTTGATTAATGTTTATAGAAATAATGTCGCTGCCCCTATTTACCGTAATTGGCGATGGCAAATTAATTATAAATAACCAAAATATTTTTAAAGTATTTAATGAAAATGCAGAAGTGTTTGGTAATCCGTTAAAAATTCTAGTCGTGTGTGGCGCACCTCGCATTGGAAAGTCTATGCTATGTAATATTTTGAACTACAACTGCGAACATGTTAAAATATGTTACAATGAACCATTAAGTACAGCTGATGATTTAGGGATTTCGTTGAACGGGCAACTAAAATGTCTGAGAAATAAATTCGATTATATAAACTCAGTTTTTAACACGTCCGACGAAAAACACGAACCATGCACCAATGGTATCTGGGTCAACGAGCATCCCATTAAAGTAATACAAATCACGCCCGATTACAAACTATTATGCAATTTATTCATCATGGACGTCGAAGGAATTAAAAGTAGCTTTTCTGGCAAAGCAATATTTCAACAATTATTTGTCTTGGCTACTACCATGTCGTCCCACTTTGTATACCTCGCTAAAGAAGATTTTAGTGAAAACGATTTGATCGTTACGAAAGACTACATTAATCTTTTCAAAAATTTCACTGACAGTTTCCAAAATCTATACATTTTTATCACCAATATAAGGCAACGAAAAATGTTTAATAATAAATTTGGTTTCGACATATCTGGTATATTTATGGATTCCCTAAAACATAAAGCCCAACGAGATATAACCGAATTTACCTCGATGTTTAAGTCGGTAGATTGTTTCCTAATACCAGAGAAAGGTTATGATTTTGAAGAACTTGGTAACCGGTATTCGTATAATAATTTGAAAGAATACATTGACTATTGCCTTGAGTTCCGCGATGCAATTTGTAATGATCTAACATTTAAATGTGAAAATAACAATCCAGATCATTTATTAACAGGTGGCGAATATTGTAAATATTTACAAACTTTATATGATATGGTAATTGATCCAATAAAAATGCCACGCGTTTGCAGTTTGTTACCATTACGCTATAAATACGAAAATGAAAAGTGTATTGAAAAATTAATAATTGATTATGAAAAAATTCTACATCAATACGTTTTAAAACTACAGACATATAACCTGAAAGTTGACATAATTGAAGTAAGAGAAAAATCCCAAATTGTTGATTATATGTTGTTAATTGTTGTGGTCGAAGATATGCCAGATGATAAAGGAATTGAGCAATTTATGTTAGAGTTTAAACAAAATCTTTACTCAAAATATCAGGGACCTAATGGCGAGAATTACGAATGTCAATTGAAAGATATGCTACAAGAAAGATGCACAGAATTCAAATGTTTGATCCAACTGTTTTACCTTTGTTTATCGCAATATCTTGATGCTATAGACAAGATTATTAAAGATAATTACAAGATTGATGCAGTTAAAAATAAGAAAACTGAGTATTTGACCAAGTTCAAAAACTTATTTGCTAATAAAACCGAAGAATTCATTCCAAAGCTCACCAATATATTCGGTTTTGAAATTGATAATTTATTTAGATCAGAAACTGAACTGATTGCCAAGAAAATGACTAAGTTTATAAGGCTTTTGACTATTAATATGGAACAACACACAGAAAATTTTGTAGCCAATAAGATCAGAACCTGCGATTTGCAAACAATTCATAGCGAGTTATTAACTAGCTTGTTAGAAGATATCAGTAAATTACCAATTATCAAAGCTTATTATCAGACATTTATGAATAAAATTAAGCATTCAATGACTGAAAAAATTAACGAATTCATTAAGGGAATTCATGTTTATTTCAATTACAAACAAATGTTTCAAGATAAGCTGATATTTTATGTTACTACAGCGGAAGATTTGTTGGCTGATGACTTCAAGACTTATTTAGACGAGCATTATATTAAACTAACAACAGAGCATGGTCGTTTATTTGAAGAAGCACTGAAGAGCCATCCTACAAAGTTAAACATTGAATACTACGGTAACAATATAAGCGATAAATATGTACAAGACATGAGAACATGTAAGAATCGTGTGAAATATTGGGTACGCCAAATTAAGAAATATGCCTCGGTGTTTGAAAAGCGACTTGACGAACTAATAAAAAAGAAGTGGTACAAATTTTTCAAATACAGCAACGAACTATTAACATGCGGTCAAGAATTATACGTCGATGTCTACGTTGATTACATGCAAAAAATGTCATCTGAAATAGATTATGATAAACGCCAAGAAGTGTTTAAGAAAGTGACCAATGCCATTTTGCAGAGAAAGTACGAACACTATCGGTATGTGGAAAATTGGACCGACGGTGGTATTTTTGTGTTAGGTGCTGGCGTGTCGATAGGCACTATATTTGTGACAGGTCCAATTATGTGGACCGGTATAGGTGTGGGCGTTTCACTAAAACTTATTACTAGCGGTCGTTTGGGTGTTAGGTTAGTTAGCAAGGAGAAATTTCCTAATAAAAATTCAAGTGATTACGAATATGACATTGGAAAGTTACGGGAAACAGATCAGGAGTGGGACAGTGATTCAGATTTAATCCCTTTGCAAATTAAATAAGCATTTAAGTAATGCATTATATTTCAATTTGTTTAATATCCAAGTTATTTTATATAATTTGTTTTCTAAAACGCTAATATTATATATTTTATTGTGATATTTTTCTAAAAATTATGTTTTCTCTGATAAATAAAGCGATTGTAATACTTTTGCATTAGCCATCTTTAGGGCTAACTTAAAATTAAATTATAAAATTCTATATTATAATGCTAGTAATTTTATATCTTTAATAAAATTATATTACGCCAGTATTTTTACACTAAAAATTAATTAGAAGTATTATTTCCAATAAATAATCTATATTATTATGTAATGCAAACTTATAGCGTGTTTAATAAAACGCTTATGCGACAAAACAAAAAATGATTTCCAATGTTATGTACAATACATTTACCACCAAAAGTGTCTTATCACATAAATTCATTGTTTTAAAAACACATTAAAAGGTATAATAAATTAGTAAACAGTTTCTAAACAATAATCTCATTTTGTCGTTTTATCTAAAAACATTATCAGGAAATATTACTTTATTTGTTTTATGTGAGGTTTTTTGTCTTATGTTATATTTAGTGATGATGCCTATTTTGTAAAATATGTTCACTGTAATATGTCATAAAATAAACCAGTTGATTTAAATTAATTGTGCATTTATATCAATTTAAAAGGTAATGTAATGTATTTAATATTATGTTTAAACTTACAAAATGTAATTGTAGTTACAATTAGGATAAAAACTAATTATTGACTATTATATTTTATTTGTATATATTATGCCAACACATGTAATTGATATTTTATGTTTATTCAGATTTAATTTAAAAAAGCTATTATAAAGTTATTTTATTTAGAAATAAATACATTTGTTTATTAATAAATATTTTAGAAATACTGCATTCGTACTACATATTAAATATTAGTTAGAGTACATTTTTTAGGTATCTAAACTAATTTTATTATCTAATTAATATATAGTAATTAATTAATAAAAACTGTACTTACATTTAGGCAAACAATATAATATTTTTATTGTTTTATACTCGGCTCAACAAGATTTGTTTGAAAATAATAATTTAAATTATAATAATACAAAAGCAAAATAAATATGTCAGATGAATCTACTAAATTAATATCATCGGATAATCAAGATCGATTTTACCCTGAACGGCAAAGTGCCCTTTGCCGTAATAATAGGTATCATGAATCGGGAATTGGAAAAATTATCCTGCCAACTACGGCAACGCCCCCTAATTCACCAAGTTCACCACCACCACTGACAGGTGCAGGTGTTATTGCCGATGTGTCGTACCTTATATTTAAAAAGCTGTACGAAAAGGCTCGGGGTCAAGAAAAGTAATGTTAAATTATTAAGAATGTTGTCAACAATTTTTAAATATAAAAATACTTGTATAATTTTATATACAATTTTATTAAATTAAAATAACCCGGTTACATAACCAGTCATAATATTATGTAATTCTATAAGATATATTAATAATATTAATTGCAAAAATAATTAACAAATAATAAATCTAATATAAGGTCATGAACTGAATTATTGTTTACATTTTTGTATTTTGTGTGTATTATACTGATATCAATATTAATTGATAAATAAAGTTCTTAAAGTTATTATTTTTATAATTACTATAATAATATTTATACACTTACAAAAACATTTGCGTAACATAGAAAGTATATTTGTAGAAATTAAGTAATACTTAACTTAAAATCAAATTATCTACCCAAAAGCGTTTTATTAATTTTTAATATTTAAATATGATTTAAAATATAATGCCAAACTAGTAATCAAGAATAAATTATTTGAGTATTATAATTTTATATTTGTTAATTTTAAATTAATTTTTAAATATTCATTTACAAAAAAATAAATATCAATATTATCGCATCTAAATTATTTTATTTTATTAAGTTTAGTAGTCATAAAATATTTTTAAAAACATTGTAAACGACAACTTAGTTCACTAGTATTAATAAATATAATTTTTTATTTATTTACTGTGTTTATTCATACTTTATTTGAACATTCAGTGTTTATGACAAAATATAATCAAACTAACATATATTTGTAAATTATTTAGGTTTATACAACATTTTAATAATTTTTATTTTATGTAATTTTCAATAATATTTTTAAAAATTTGATAAAATTTAGTTTAGTTAACAAATAGGTATTGACATCAATGTCCGGCTATAATATCGATAGGTTTGTGGATTTGAGTGAATCGGAAAGGGATGAACTGACGTGCAGTATATGTCAGGATATATTATGCTGTCCACGGGTAGCACCTTGCTGTTTGCAAATGTACTGCGAACAATGTATCAATGAATGGTTGCATACAAATAATACCTGTCCTCATGATAGAAAACCGCTCACTAATATTGAGCTCAATAGACCACCAAGGTAAATATTTAAATTCTCGATGATTACTATTAAATAATTAATATTACAATTTATTTTAGAGCCCTGGTTAATTTATTATTGAATTTGAAAATAACTTGCGATAATAAAGCAAATGGTTGTGATGAAGTGGTTAAATTAGAGGACCTTGCTCATCATACACTTAATTGCAAGTTTAATATAACTAAATGTAAAGTTTGTTTATGCACAATGGACACTGATCATAATTGTGTCAATACTTTACTGCAATTAAACAAAACTGCACGAACAGAGATTATGGATTTGAAACAAGAATTGTACAAGATCAAACAGTTAACAAGCACTAGTGATGCTAATGAATTCTATACGGTAAATAATTATTTTAAAATTAGTATTTGTTATAATATTTATATATTATTTATAAGACTAGAATTTAAATATGAAAACTAAAGTAATTTGTATTTAATCTAAAATTAATTTACAGTTTGATTACAAGTCATTGAAAGAGAGGCTGAGAACCGGGAAAATGCGAAGAGATTTAGAAATATTGAAATCCGATGTAAAGGAGTCGATGTTATCACATGTGAACACATTTGTGTTCAATTCAATCGTAGAAACTGATAATCTGTATGACATGACTGGGCTGCTACAGAAGCGTATGATGAAAAAGTATCCCGCTTATAATTGGCATTGTTTTACGTTTAAACATCATTTTGCCTATAGACTAGTCAATAAGGCAGGCACCTATGTTAATTTCCGTGTGGATAATCTTGAGATAATTATTTTTGGTACATAAATGATTGATATTTAATCTATTTTATATAACAATAGATATGCAAATAAACTTGTTGTTAACTCAAAATATAAACTTATACCAAATTATATTCAAATTATTTTTAACGAAATTGTAAATACTTATATTAATATTGATTAAAAAACAATTGTAATATAAATTAAAATTTTACAAACATTTATGACATTACTTATGTAGAAATAATTTCAACGATTAATGAGTAACCATAAAAATAGATAAATTATTAGTCAATCTTTTAGTTATTTGAAACGTAAATAACATGTAGCCATTTAAATAAATATAAGCATGTTTTGAAATACAATTTTGATTTAATCTAAGCTAGTAAATAAAGTGTAAATTTTATATTGTTAAGGTATGCATAAGATTATTTATTATTTTTCTTATTTAAGTCCATAAAATATACATATAACTTATTATACTAAATTATTAGTAATGAATTAACTCAATTGTGCACTGAATTAACTTAATTGTGCACTGAATTTAATCAATTGTAAACTGAATTAACTTAATTATGCGCTGGATTTACT